GACTTCCACTTACAGGCTTGTTCCCTCTATTCTTATATCTCTATGGTAAAAGGTTTGCAATTGGCCGGACAATAAGTGGCCCATAGCCATAATGTGATGTGAGTGAAGTGAAACGAAGTGAGATTTGCAATTCAGCAACCTATAACCACAAATGAGCGAAGAGTTTGTTGGTTATATTTTAATTTGAGTCAGTTTGTCATTTCATTTGATTAATTATTTACCGCTTTTGTTTTGTTTATTTATTCGTCACGACAAAACGATATGAAAAATTCGACGTGTTTAATTTTTATATTTATAAGGCAAAATAAATCTTGAGCATAAAGGTAAATATAAATATTGCAACGATGAGAAGATTCCCTTGTTTCTTGACTTTGTTTATACGGCAACGTTAATCCGACATAATTACCGTAGTTAGCGAACTTTTGCGTTTAATTGGAGTAAATTTTTAGATAAATGAAGTGTTAATCAGTTATAAGAGTTCATTAACTATGGTTGTTACTAAACTGGATAAATTTTGCCATGAAACGTAGTTATTATGAAATTTAATAGAACTCCTTGTGCTGCAATGTTCAAACGGTCTGAGAATATGTTAATGAACAATGATTTTCGTGTGCCTACAAAACGAGCAAAATTAGACATTCCCAAGACAAATCTCCAGTATGGTAAAAGATCAGAAAAGGAGGTTTTCAGGAACAAAAATGCGCAATATGATGATCTCTGGGGCGATGATTTCGCCGAGAAAGACATCGAGGAGATGGATTTCGTTGCTTCTCAAGCATGTTTATTGGTACTATATTAACAAAATATTTGTTTTGAAATTTGTGAAAAATTAAGGAGAATTTAACAAATAGTAACTTGAATTTTTGTTTTCAAGGAAGGCAATATATTAGATAATTCAAAATTTGGAAACAGCTTACATCCAATAAAATCAGAACTTCTAGAGAAACCTGCTGCAACTGCAAGTACATCTGACTATAATGAAGTGTCAAAAGCAAAATTATCAGTATCTTTAGAAAAATCCAATGTTTGGCTAAAAAAGGCTGTACAAAGTACTAACCTAGACAGCCAAATTACAGCAGATACTGATTATTCCCAGTTTAGAAACAAATTAATAGACAGAACGGATCATAACTCAACTTTTCAAAAGAGGAGTAACTTTACTATACCTGGTATATATTAACATATTTTTAATAGTAATAAGGAGGATTCTGAGATAAGATATTCTTCTTAAAATTTCTTTATAAACTGGTTAATATAGATGACAGAGAATTGGAAAGGTTAAAAAATGAAAATAAAAAGTTATTGAATGATTTTATAACTAAAGATGGTGAAACGGTATTTTTACGGCAACAGTTACAACAAATTCAGTTGAGATCTGAAAATGAAAAGTTACAAAAAATGCATTTAATTGAAGATCAAGCCAATCGTCACAGATCAGAAATCAATAAAATTTGTAAAGAAAAGGAACAGTTGAAGACACAGATAGAATTACAAGTAAGTACATGTCTTTGTATTTATTGTGCTATAAAATTTTCTATGTAGAAGGAATATCATT